CCTGACTAAAAAAGACCCTTCTTAGTGCAGTGCGACGCCAGCGAAAAAGGACTAGGCGTCGTTCTAAGCCAAGAAAATGAAGGGGAAGAGCACCCAGTTTTGTTTGCCAGCAGGAAGCTAACTTCAAGGGAGCAAGCCTACAGTACCATCGAAAAAGAATGCGCTTGTCTCGTATGGGCTGTAGAAAAGCTTCGCTGCAATCTCTATGGTTCGGAGTTTATTTTAATTACAGATCATAGACCGCTCACATGGCTTCAGCAGCTGTCCCCCAAAAACGGTCGCTTGTTACGCTGGAGCTTGACCCTCCAGGAATATTCTTTCTTGGTTCGACATAAAAAAGGGAAGCTTCATGCGAACGCAGATTGCCTGAGCCGAGCGCTCTAACCGGCGCACAGTGCGATTTTCTGTTTCTTTTGTCTCATCTGCACATTTGTAAATAGTTCCATTCAATTTCATTCATTAGCTGTCTATTCCCGAAAGATCGGGAACGATATTTTCAAAAAATTCTGGCTGCGTTTGGGGCATATTTTGTAAGCTATTTCTTTTGAATAATTCGTGCTCTCGGTGAGTGGAAAGGGCGTTTCGGGTGCCTCCGCAGTTTCTGTGGTGCTTGGTTGTTGTTGGCCCTTCTCAGTCCCCTCAGAAGCACGACGGACCTCTGTTGTCATCCCGACGTCCTGGCACCGACGGCACGTGACAGCCGCTGCTACTCCTGGGCCGCTGGCGACTTTGGCTCATGGTCGCAAGGAACGCCATCACCGCTCCTTCCTGCTCCTCTCGGACCGCACAGTCGACGCTTCCGACCAGTCAAGGACACTGAAAACTGCAGTGACGGTGTTGGGCCGCGCGTCGACGCTTCCGGCCAGTTTCGCAGACGGTGTTGGGCCCTGCGTCTCCAGGACTTCCCGCCCTTCGGATCAGCGCAAGCTGAACCTGTATTCGCTGCGAAGGTTTCTTCGAGCAACGACTGTGAAGTTCTGCGCAAGCAGCACTAGGATTACGCCGTTCGTTTGTCTGTCGAACATTCCCAAGGACGTGCTTGAAACCTGGAGAGTGGCGGGAAAATTGTTTTATGCGGTTTCGCCCTAAAAGGGGGAGGAGTTGTTACGACGCGATGTTATCGCTTATCGCTGTCGCGGCCGCAGCAGAACTGCTGAGTCAGGGGGGCGTACCTCTGGTGCTTGCTGCCGATATAAGCGGCATCGCCGGCAAGCTTTGGGCTCTTTTGGTTCCGGCTGCCGAACAATAAACGCTGCCAAATAAACGTCGGTCTCCGGATTCGTCGATTCTCCCGGAGAAACGTAACAGCCCATCCGGGATTAACAACACGGAGCCGGGGTTTCCAATACAAGACACTACATTTATTAAAGTAACAGGAATGGATTGTTAGTATTAAGTTCAACGTAAAACATTGCCGGAGCGTTCCAACTGGACGCCTCCGTGGCCGCGGTCCGTCCTCCCTCCTCTGTGGGCGTGTGCCTTCTTTTATAGGCTGCTGTGCCTGTCCTATACGTGCGCTATTGCGCGCCTCGGCCGTTGTCCAGTTTGGGCATTCGGCAGCGGCCTCTGGCCGTGGTGGGAGACTTGCTCCCACACTTCCCCCCCCCCCCCCCCCTTAAGCATCTGGCATGTCGATGCCAGTGTTGTCGTGGTCGTCCTTGGCAGGGGTCGTCGTCGAGGGTGTGGACGGCGGCGCTGTATCGGCGTTAGGGCGCGCTCCAGGTCGTGCTTGTCCTTTGGTGGCCGTTTCCGGAATCGCCGGCAGCTGCAGTTTTCGGTGCCTTCTTGCCCAGTGGCCGCAGTTCCGCGGGGTGGGCCTCGCTGGTTGCTGGCCTCGGGGACTGGTACCGCCTTGGTGGCCTCGGGGACTGGTACCGCCACGTGTCCTGGGACCCTGGTGTCCAGATGCCCGGGATTTGTAGTGGCGTCGCCCATGATCCATCTTCGTGAAACAAAACGAGCAATTGCCATGGGCTACTCTCATGTGTAACCCCTGGCTCTATGATGCATAAAAAAAAGGATAAAGGATCTGGGGTGGGCACAATCGCGCGATATTTTCCCCTCTCCCCCTCAGAAAGGCGATCAGACCCGTGGGATGATATACGATCGAGGTACAACGCTCGAAACCCGAAAAAAAGGAAAAAAAAAAGGAATAATCTTGTCCACCGCTTTACAACTTCTCTCAGCAGTCACCGACGTCGCAGGTTGTACCGCCTGTGTGCCGGCGAGGGGGGGTCCGGAAACGGGCCGTCGTCGGCATCGGTCTGATCCTGCGAGAAACCATCTTCCGGGATGTGGAATTGTTTAAGATCTGTGACATGAGTTGGTCCTGTGGACTCACCACTGGAATGGTGAATTAGCGTGTATGTAAGCGGGGAAAGCTTTTTGCCTACACGAAATGGACCATCCCACCTGTTGGCCAGTGAGCCCGTGAAGCCTTTCGCCGCGTCACTCAGGGGGTGAGTGCGCCTGAGCACCAAGTCTCCCACCTCGAACTGCAGGTCTCGGCGTCCCTGGTTGTACTGGTCGGATTGCTGCAGTCTGGCAACGTCAAGGTTCTCCCGGGCTTCCTTGAGGTTGATGGTGAAACGCTTTCGCAGGTCGTCTGCGAACTTTGTGTAGTTGCGGTCCTGTGCCCTGGGCTCTGTTGAACGGAGAGTGTTAGTGAGAGGGAAAGCAAGCTCTCTGCCAAAATTGAGCTGGGCAGGGGTGAGCCCGGTTGACCGGTTAACCGTGGTGCGAGTGGCGAAGGCCATTTCTGGGAGCTTCGCATCCCAGTCTTTGTGGCGCTCCGTATGAGCAACAAGCATCATCTTAAGGTTTCGATTCACCCTTTCGGTTATATTTGCCTGGGGATGATACGGCGAAGTCCGTTTATGTTCAATTCCCAGAACCGCGCATGCCTCGACGAACACTTTGCTCGTAAAATACGACGCATTATCCGAAATTAGGCTTGCCGGGAAACCAAAACGCGCGAAAACTTGAAGTAGGCAATCCCATATTTTCTGCGAATTCAACTTTCGTAAAGGGAACAGCTCCACCCATTTGGTGAAATGGTCTGTTAGTACGAACAAGTACTGGTTTCGGCGTGGGCTACGTGGAAATGGACCCATGACGTCACAGCAACAGATCTGCCAAGGGCTCTGGCTTGCGATCGGTTGCATGAGACCTGGGGGTTGACCACCACGTGGCTTCGCTTTCTGGCATGACGGGCAACTACGCGCGTACCTCAGTACATCTTGCCGCATGCCGGGCCACGTCGCAATCTGGGACAACTTATCGTAAGTCTTGCTGCCACTGCTGTGTCCGGCTAGGGCAGAGCTGTGCATGTATCGGATGAAAAACTTACGTAGCTTGCGGAGTATCACGGTCCGGAATGCTGATCCATCCGGATCGTCGTCGGCCTGGGGGATGTAGCGCAGCAGGAGGCCGTCATCGCTCATCAAGTAGGAGTCGAACTCCGTGTCACTTGGGCGGTCGACTGGACCGGACGCTGCCAGCCAGGCAGTCACTTGTTGGCACAACCCATCGTCGTGCTGGGCCTTGAGAAGATCCTCTCTTGAGACCAATGTACCCCACCGTGAGTCAGGTGGTCCCTGCGTTGTATTAACGACTGCGACCAGCCCTGGGGATTCCTGCACGTGGTTCTCAGGAAGGGGGGCGCGGGAAAGTGCATCAGCAATTTGGTTTGTAGCACCCGGCCTGTATACAATAGTGTAATCGTATTGTTGCAGCGTAAGTGCCCAACGAGCGAGGCGACCAGCGGGGTTCTGAAGTCTTTTCAGCCATGACAATGCTAAATGATCACATTCAATTTGGAATGTTGCGCCATCCAAATACATGTCAAATCGCTTTAACGCATACACTACGGCTAAGCATTCCCTTACTGCAACACTGTAGTTACGCTGTGCGGAATTGAGGGTCTGACTTGCGAAAGCAACCGGGCGAAGTATACCATCATGTTCCTGCAGTAAAACAGCTCCGACGCCACAATCGCTTGCATCTGTCTGCAAAACGAATGGTTGGTTTAGGTCGGGATGATGCAGACACGCGTTCTCTGTCACTGCCTTTGATAAAGCTGCGAATGCGCTTTGTTGTTCTTCGCTCCAACACCATTTGACGCCTTTTCGAAGGAGGTGATTAAGCGGCTGAGAAATCTCGGAGCAGTAAGGAATGAAATCCCTATAGAATGCAATCATTCCGAGATATCGCTGTAAACTTTTCACGTCATGGGGGCGCGGGTACTCAGTTAGTGCGCGCAGTTTTTCTTGGTTGGGACGGAGCGTGCCGCTATCGACAACAAATCCGAGGAGGTTAATTTTGGGCTCGGCCAGTTGAACTTTCCTCGGATTGATTGTTAGGCCCGCGTTCCGCATCCGCTCAAGTACGATAGTCAAGTGTTCAAGATGCTCCTCGAATGTACGCGAGAAAACAACAACGTCATCCATGTAGGCCATTGCGAATTCGTACTTTGCGTTTCCGAGCACAACGTCCATCAGACGTTGAAAGCTCGCTGGCGAGTTGGACAAGCCAAAAGGCAAGCGGGTGAACTCGTACAGCCCTCTGTGGCAAATGAAAGCGGTTTTCTGCACGTCTAACGGATGCACCTCGATCTGAAGGAATCCGCGGCTGCAATCCAATGTGGGGAACACCGTCGCGTTGCCGAGCGCGTACATTATAGAGGAAATGCTGGGAAAAGGGTAGCTGTCCCGTACAGACACTTCGTTCAGCCGTCTGTAATCTACGCGGAGTCTGGCAGTTCCATCTTTTTTCGGAGCGAGAACGACAGGAAATGCCCAAGGGCTCTTTGACTCACGTACTGCGCCGGTGTCCAGCATCTCCTGAAGGGCCACGTCCAGGAGTTCTCTTTTGTGCACGCTGATGGGGCGTGGATTGCACCTCCGAGGCGCTGCGTTACCGGTTTCAATCCGATGCAGCAGGATGTCTGTCTTTCCTGGTCGCTCCGTGAACATCGGAGAGAACGGCCGCAGGACGCCCTCCAGCTGTCTCTTCTGGAGGTCAGTGCCCGGACACTTCTGAAGAGTATCCGAGATTTCGGATGGTAGGGCAGCTGCAGGCGTTGTAAAGTGGGCTGGGAGGGTTGGGCCAGCGATGCAGTTCTCTCGTCTGGTGAACGGAGTCAGGTCCGTTTGGTTTCCCAGGCGATAGCCGCCCCCAGGGAAGTCGAGCGTCATGCTTACGCCTGCGATAAAATCTCGACCCAAGATCACGGGTACGGCGAGTCCCGGGAGATACAGAAAGCGCTGACGCCGTTTCTTTTCATTGAATGAAATTTTAAGCCTTACGGCTCCGTCCGCCGATATTGTTGACCCGGAGGCTAACTGCAGACGTGTGTCTGCCGAACGAAAGGTTATTTTTTTTTTTATTTTTGCATAGTTCATAGGCAGCGTCCCCTATAAGCGAGATAGCAGCCCCGGTATCCAAAAGCGCGGCAATAGGAAAACCGAGCAAAGTGATCGTCATGCGTGGCTCGATCATTTCGCTGTTAGGCTGAATTCGACATACCGATGGAACAAGTGACGCTGCGTGCGTGATCCCGGCTGTGATAGCGGCCATCGGCGGCTCTGCAGTGGGGCTCATTGCCGCCGGCCGTAATAGTTTCCCGATTGGGATGCCACGTGACCTTCCGGATTTTCACGGCCCATAGGCGCGCGAGGGTTGACCGGATTTCCACAATCCCTCCGCTCACTTCCAGCCCTTCCGCCATTTGTTTCGTTCTGCCTCGGGTTTGTATTTGGGCACTCTCTTTGGAAGTGGCCGCGCTGTCCCCAGTTGTGGCATTGGTCCGAATACCTGCTTGAGTCGCCGGCACCAGGGCGCTCTTCGGACGTCCTCCAGTGGCCCCGCATTGAACCAAAACTGGAGCGCCTCCGGCTGCTTTGATTGGGCACTCTGTGCCAGTCCCGTGGAGGTCTTAGCGCCGGGATTGCCTCGGGGCCCTGCCAAGCACATGCGGGTTCGAGAGAGTTTGCGGCCAAAGGCGGTGGGAGATAGCTTTTCTGAGCGAGGAAGATCTCCTTTGTGCTGCGGGCATGCCGGGCTAGCTCTTCAATAGTCTCAAAGGTGCGGCCGAGTAGGTACACGTGGTATTTTGGGTGACATTGTCTGAGGACACGAGCTATAATCTCCGACTCGAAGGCATTAGGTTGTCCCCTTTGTGTGAGTTCCTGCAACGCGCGAACATACTGAACCAGGCTTTCGTTCGGATGTTGCGTTCGGGACTCGAGTTCTTTCAAGATTTGTAACTCGTAACCAGGTGGCAGGAACTCTGCTCGGAATGGCCGCTCGAACTCCGCTAGGCTGGTGAACGTAGGTTGCAGCCTTAACCAGCACGCAGCGCTAGACTTTAGAGCGAGTGGGAGTATTCTGCTTATCACGAGGGATTCCGAGGCGCCTCAGGCGGCTTTGTAGACGTCGAGCTCACCCAGAAAGTCGGCGACTGACTTGACGTCGTTGTAGCCAGTGTACACCGGCATCGTCAGCTGGGGACGCAGCTCCGGCTCACGTGACTGCTGCACGGCGAGACGCTGTGTAACCGCATCACACATGGCTGCCACCTTCAGTAGCAATTCGGCCTGCGCATCCGCGGGGTCCACGCTTGCTCCAGGCTTTTCGCCATCCTTCGTCTCGGACCGTAGTGTGGGAGACATGGCGGGAAAAAACAGAAACGCCAAGCAGACAAGAAAACGTGTGCGGCAACAGGCGGTATACTCCACTCGAGAAAAATAAACACGCCCCCAGAGCGATAAACACGCCCCCGCGTGACTAAGCAATGCTTTGAGGCTCCAATTCAGCGAGCACTCGCGCTGTCGCGAATACCAGCACTACTTGGAAAAGAAACACCGCGGTTGAAAAAACTTACCGAGAGAAGAAACCCAGCCCCGTGTTGTTCCGACAGAAGGGCAGCAAAAGGACGTTGGGCGCCATGTGGTGGGGTTGCCTTGCTGCATGCCCATCCGGGAGGAACAACACGGAGCCGGGGTTTCCAATACAAGAAACTACATTTATTAAAGTAACAGGAATGGATTGTTAGTATTAAGTTCAACGTAAAACATTGCCGGAGCGTTCCAACTGGACGCCTCCGTGGCCACGGTCCGTCCTCCCTCCTCTGTGGGCGTGTGCCTTCTTTTATAGGCTGCTGTGCCTGTCCTATACGTGCGCTATTGCGCGCCTCGGCCGTTTTCCAGTTTGGGCATTCGGCAGCGGCCTCTGGCCGTGGTGGGAGACTTGCTCCCACAAGCTATCGATTACCACGAGCTCTAATCGAGTGTTCACGCAATGCTCGGGTCCAATCTATGAACCGCATTCAAATATCGTCATTGGATGATACTGCGACCGCCCAGCTACGTTATCAAGTTTTGCGAAAGAGAGATTGAATGAAAACGCTCGCTTTTGTCCTCGAAATTAGGCTGCAACGAAGGAGTTTCTTGTCCAGTCGCGTTGCGTGCGAGTATCCTTGAGTCCCACTTTACTTCGTCTCACCCTACGATGGACTAAAGGGAAAAGCTACGGACCGCCAGATCTAATCACGAGCCACTTAGAAATTGCGTGCGATTTCGCTTCGATGCAGGTATGGGTGCCCGCGTGTCGGATAATTGATGGGAATGGGCGGACAGTGGTTCGGATCGAATTGCACTGAGTGACTCAAGCATTTTACATCGAAAAAAAACCCAGGACGTACAAGCTTTTTGCAGTGTCGAAGCTATAAAAATGTTACAGTGTTTTTGAATCCGGAGCATTACTCTTCCAAACCTAATCAATGCTAAGTGTGTCATAGTTTAGCGTGGAACGTGATTGGACCTGGCGGCCTACAGTTTTGGCCTTTAGTTCACCGTAGGATGAGACTAGGTATAGTTCCAGTAAGCTCGTGTAAACTGAAAAACATTCCAATTGAATATCGTTGCGCCGCCCCTTTAAGGAACACAAGAGTACAAATACAAAAAATGTACAGAGACATTTAAGACTGTTTATGTGTGGGAATGCGAAAACATCTCTAGGCACACCTTTAGTCAGCCAGATCCGTGGAAAGCGTGCTCGTCTCGCACCCTGGAGGGCCCGGGTTCGATTACCACCTAGAACGTTATGTACCAAAGTTTTTTTTTCAAACCCATTAATTTAATTTGTTTACGAAAACCCCTCTCAAAAAAGTTGACGTAAATCCGAGCATTTTTGACGTGTTTTTAATCTTTGCGCCGTTAACCATGTTTGGTATCATCGCTTGGTCACGCCGCCAACGGCGGCGGAGTTTCGCGTAATGGAGCGTATAACGCAATAATAAAGCTTTCACTTTAAAAATAAACAAAAGGATCCTTTTTTTTTATTTCGAACCGTTTTTAGCACGTTGTGCGTGGCTTTTTTTAACCCAGTTAAAACCAAAATGGAAATATAAACGCTTAAAAAATGAATGCAAACGGGAAGGAAGGTCAGAAGTCGCAAGGCCATCGCATCAACGATGGCCGCGCTCACGGCAGCGCTGGCATCCACGACGTGCTGGAACAGAGGCTGCAATCGTTATAAAGTCAGCTCCAACCCCTAAACATTCCCCGTCCTACAATATTTGATGCTAGGATTGTGTGTGGCCCGAGAGAAGACGCCCGCTGTGTTGCAACTCTGCTGTGATAAGTGTAATAACGAAAACGGCTTGACATAACAAAAATAACAATTTAATTAAACGTTTCGCCTCCCATGCGGGAGGCATCTTCAGTAGAGCACAGAGCGAGTGAGAGTCGCACAAAAAAGTTCGGCTATTTAGGCATAAAGTTTGCGTACACCTCCGGCAGGGGGCCACGGTTCTTGTTTACCAGCGATGAATCACTTCCGCGTTTGTCGTTCTGGATAAACCAAGATTCCAGCAGCTTCCTCGGTCCCCACCTTTGATCCCTCGCCAAGGTCGATGCCTTGTCAAAGTCAAATTGATGTCCTGACGTCCATGTGTGGTCGACGAGTTCGGACTTGAAGCGGGTGGCGTTCGTGGAATTGGCGACATCCCGTGCGTGTTCTTTTAGTCTTGTTTTTCTTTTTCGTCCCGTTTCTCCAATGTAGGAAGCGTCACATTCCTTGCACTGCACCTGGTAGATCACGCCCCTTTCTGCCTCTGGCGGGGTCGGGTCTTTTGGCTTGGAGATAACATTGGCAATTGTTCTGTAGGGTTTGTATACAGTTCGTACCCCTAACGGCCTAAGGGCGCGTCCCAATGCCTCCGAAATCCCCTTAACGTACGGGATGCACACGACGTCACGTGTTCATTCGGCTCGATCCGGGCGCCGACGGGACATTTGTTTCTTAACGCGATTGATAAATCGGTCGGGGTAGTTACGTTTCTTCAAAGCCTCCCGCACATGGCTAAGTTCTTGATTGCTAAGTGTTGAGTTAGATGGGACTGTTTCTGAACGATGAAGTAACGATCTTACAACTGAGCTTTTGTGTTGAGTAGGGTGATGAGAGTGGTAGTCAAGAAAGTTTTGTGTGTCACATGGTTTACGATATACGGATGTCTCCATCTTAAAGAAAGGTTCACTAGTTCTATGGACACGTACATCTAAAAACGGTAAGGTACTGTCGGTTTCATGTTCGCAGGTGAACTGAATTGAGGGGTGGACACTATTCAAATTGCGGTGAAAATCGGTTACGTTCTCTCTGTTAACTATTACAAACGTGTCATCGACATAACGACGGTAGAACTTCACGGGGAAATCAATGCCAGACATTACCATTTCCTCAACATATTCCATGACGAGATTCGAGAAGGTTACTGAAACTGGACTCCCCATAGGGCATTTGCTGACCTGATGATATATGTCCCCATTAAAACTAAAATTGCACTGGTTGAGACAAAAACGCAAAAGAAGTATAACGTCATCAACAAGGAGGGTTGTACGAGTGGACAACGACTGGTCTGCCAACAACCGGTCACGGGCAACCTCAACCGCCAGGGTGTTGGGGACATTCGTAAATAAAGAAATCGCATCAAAGGATACCATAGCCTCGTGCGGTAGCAGGGTCTGAGCGCGTATAAGTTCAACAAACTCATGGGAATTCCGGTCGCTAAACTCATTGTTTCCCGTAAGAGGGTTCAGAATCTCAACCAGATATTTGGAAAGGCTGTAAGTAGATGAACCAATAAAAGATACAATCGGGCGTAGGGGGCAACCCGGTTTGTGAATTTTGGGGAGTCCATACATCTTGGGTGTCGCGGCGTCAGAGGAGAAGAGACGACGGTATAGGTCGTCATTGATGCGTCCTTTCTTTTTCAGTTCTCGAAGGTGGTCAACTAAGTCTCTTTCGGACTTAGCAGCGGGATCTCTTGATAGCCTCACGAAATAGTGATTGTCGTTTAAAACTTCATACATTTTCTTCATGTAGTCATCCCTATCAAGCACAACGGTTCCTTTTCCTTTGTCGGCCTTTAAAATCATGATGGAGCTGTCTGACTTCAACTCATTAAGAGCAACGCGTTCTTGTTGACCTAAATTCGACCCGGCCGGTTTCGCATTGTTCAAAACACTGACAACGCGACTTCTCGCGAGATTTACCCCTGTGACATCGTGCACATGTCTGAGTTTCTCTTCAATTTCGATTATTTACAGGATTACAGGATATGGACGCCAATTAAATGGCGTCCATATCCTGTAATCCCCGATCTTGCAGTTCAATCAACCAATCAATCAATCAATTTTATTTACATCATCATCAAATGGTGATGTGGGCTGCAGTTGCGCCCACCCTCACAAGGGCCTCCCTACTCTTGTATGCCGCTCTACCTATTCACTTTCGGTGGCCGCGTCTCGTGGTGTTCTGCCAGGCTTTGTCAGTATAGATGAACATATAACATATAACGTAGAACGTAGAACATAAAGCAGAAGTCGTGCATGCGGCGTAATAACAGTGATGTTGCAGGCGTGCTACCACCGTTTCCTACTGCGATTATCGAAAGCGCCAAGTAGACGAGTACTTCTTTTTGACTCTTGAAGTAATGATGTTTGTGGTGGTGGGAGTCGCATAGTGTCCTCAATTCGACGAACACCGCCTCTCGCGCATGCGCCGTTACTGTATCGAAAAAAGAAAAAAACTTATATTATTCAGTGGTCATTCAGTAAGATGAATTATACTCTACAGCAGATTACGCCATGATTCTGGGCAGCATAAGGATCACGCAGGTCATGGCGAGAGTCGAGCCAAATACCTTTGATTACCGATACTGGAAACTGGAGCCAAAATGCATGGGGTTGTCGGGAGACACAGACATGCTGCCATCTCTCGGTGTGGGATGGTATGCTATGAGCTCGAAATTAAAAGGATAACAGTCATTCACTACACCTTTTTTTTCTCTTCACACTATCAGGAATTCGGAATATATGCCAAATCGGTGTGCCGATTTCAATTGAGCAAGAGCTCAATGAGGCGCGCTTCATATTAGCAGAAAGTATTTAGATTACATGGATTTATGTATTACACCTTGTACAAATGACCTACTGGCAATTAGTCACTTCCTAGTAAGTTGAAAGTTTAGGGACCACTCTAATGGCTATGGCTGTTACTGGCTGTAGTGACTTGCTCTTTGCAGTTAGAAATAAACCACAGCAATTCAAATATGTAATTGCTCCATGGGTCATTATTTTAAATTATATGAGACTGACTTCCAATGAGGCTGGAATTGGTACACGACATAATAATTACAGCCAGTAAATGCTACACTGGCTGGTTAACGAAGAACCAGTATTTCTAAGGAAGCAGAAATAGTGTCCGGTTCAGTTTTACCTGTCGTTTTAGGGGCCGGGTTAGCCTCTGATGACTGCAATGTCTATTGGATTGTACTTCTAAGTTATTTGGACGAGTATAAACTAGATTGCCTTCCAAGGGCTATTATTGGCTCTGGGCCAATATCCTAAGCTATTTCGGGGCATATAGACCAAGCAGCTGTTTATTAGGTACGTAGTTCCACTTGTGATAGACTTTAATGACCATTAGTGACCATTTCGTGATATTTGTAATGATATGTCTCAGAAAGGATTTGAATGACTATTTTTTGATATTTGATTTTATTTCCTAATTATATGGCGGATTTTAGTTCCAAATGACTTCTAATGAAAATCAATGACTATTTGTAACTATTTTGAGTTATTTGATTACGTGCGGACTGAGTTGGCTTTCAATCGCTAATTCTGGCTCTTTGATCAAAATATGTCATGGCAGATATGTAGTCAAATTACTTCTAGTTACTTTTAATGACTTTTTGTCACTATTTTGAATTAATTGATTGTGTGCAGACTGAGTTGGCTTCATATGGCTATTATTGGCTACGTGATCATATTTATACATTATATGGCACATTTGGGGTCCGAATGACTTCCGTGATTATCAATTACTACCAGTCACTATTTCGACTTATTTGTTTTGTGCAGACTTAGTTGGCTTCCAATGGCTACTATTGGCTATACATTCATATTTAAAATTATATAGCAGATTTAGGGGCCGATGACTTCTAGTGATTGCCCATGATTATCAGTCCTTATTTCGAGTTACTTGATTGTGTGAAGACTGATCTGGCTTCATATGGCTATTACTGGAGATAGGAATATATTTATAAATTATATGGCAGATTCAGAGTTCAAAAGACTTATACTGACTATTGATGACTATTGGTCACAATTTTGAGTTATTTATTTGTGTTCGGGATGAGTTGGCTTCCAATGGCTATTATTGGCTATACAATCATATTTTTTATTTATATGGCAGATTTGTGGTTCAAATGACTTCTAGTGACTATCAATGGCTATTAGTCACCATTCCGACTTACATGATTGTGTGCAGATTGAGTTGGACTAATATGGGTATTATTGGCTATATGATTATGTTTATAAATTATATGGCAGATTTGGGTTCCAATGACTCACTTCCAATGAGGCTGGAAATGGTACACGACGTAGTAATTACAGCCAGTAAATGCTACACTGGCTGGTTAACAAAGAGCCAGTATTTATAAGGAAGTAGAAATGGTGTCCGGTTCAGTATTACCTGTCGTTTTGGGGGCCTGGTTAGCCTCTGATGACTGCAATGTCTATTGGATTGTACTTCTGAGTTATTTGGACGAGTATAAACTAGAGTGCCTTCCAAGGGCTATTAATGGCTCTGGGCAAATATCCTAAGCTATTTCGGGGCATATAGACCAAGCAGCTGTTTATTAGGTAGTTCCACTTGTGATAGACTTTAATGACCATTAGTGACCATTTCGTGATATTTGTAATGTTATGTCTCAGATTGGATTTTAATGACTATTATTTGATATTCGATTTTATTTCCTAATTATATGGCGGATTTCAGTTCCAAATGACTTTTAATGAAAATCAATGACTATTTGTAACTATTTTGAGTTATTTGATTGCGTGCAGACTGAGCTGGCTTTCAATGGCTAATTTTGGCTTTTTGATCAAAATATGACATGGCAGATATATAGTCAAATTACTTCTAGTTACGTTTAATGACTTTTGGTCACTATTTTGAGTTAATTGATTGTGTGCGGATTGAGTTGGCTTCATATGGCTATTATTGGCTATGTGATCATGTTTATAAATTATATGGCACATTTGGGGTCCGAATGACTTCCGTGATTATCAATTACTATCAGTCACTATTTCGAATTATTTGTTTTGTGCAGACTTAGTTGGCTTCCAATGGCTACTATTGGCTATAAATTCATATTTATAATTATATAGCAGATTTAGGGTCCATATGACTTCTAGTGATTGCCCATGATTATCAGTCCTTATTTCGAGTTACTTGATTGTGTGAAGACTGATCTGGCTTGATATGGCTATTACTGGCGATAGGATTATATTTATAAATTATATGTCAGATTCAGAGTTCAAAAGACTTATACTGACTATTGATGACTATTGGTCACAATTTTGAGTTATTTATTTGTGTGCAGGCTGAGTTGGCTTCCAATGGCTATTATTGGCTATACAATCATATTTTTTATTTATATGGCAGATTCGTGGTTCAAATGACTTCTAGTGACTATCAATGGCTATTAGTCACCATTTCGACTTACCTGATTGTGTGCAGATTAAGTTGGACTAATATGGGTATTATTGGCTATATGATTATATTTATAAATTATATGGCAGATTTGGGGTCCAAATGACTTCTAGTGACTATCAATGACGATCAGTGACTATTTCGACCCCCGCAGGGGGCACCTGTGAAAGCAGGTGTTTGGTGAGTGGCGTCACCATGGACCTCAAGCCATGCGGGTTCGCCCGCCCACGTATGGCTGTATGTGGCTTTCCCATGTCCGAGGAAAAGGTCAACCTGGTGGTTGAGTCGAGCCCGGGGTAGGTTTGGACCCTTCGGGGCCCCCCGGGTGAGGCAGTACACCACTTCGCCCCCTGCTTCTCTTAGACGAGAGTCCTGGTAAGGCCCGGCCAGGATGATTCAGTCTAGTCGCCTTTTCTTCTACTATGCCCTTTGATCTTTCACTTTTACCTGTCCTGTTTTCTTCACTTCTTTCTCATTTCTCTTGCTCCTTTTTCTCCCTTCTTTGGCGGTAAGGGCTAACCTTGGGTGGAAATAGATACTCTCGTCTAAACCACAGTTGGTTATAGCGTCTTGGTAGCACTGGCAGAGCAGCATTCTCAGACAAGCCTGTACTGTTATGAGATGTTGCGCGCCCCCTTGTTGGACTCCGTGGTGGCTGGTGCGCCACAGGTGCCGAAGTTCTTTTGCCTTTTTATGGCTACCCCTCCCAAACCAAAAGCCGGTTCGTGGCGACTAGGCAAGCGCCTGCACCCCGAACCTATTGCCATAGCTAAAGAGTCTAAATCAGACATGTTTACAAAGTTCTTTGTACTTCATTCAGATAATGATCAGCGTCCAATGTCCAAGCTCTCGACTTTTGCTATTGCAAAACTCCTTGACTCGAGCCTTGGAGACGATTACATTGCGAAAAAACTGTATTCCGGAGACCTGCTTGTGGAAGTAAGCTCGAAGAAAAAAAGCATCGCTTTGCTCACCTTGAACACCATTGGAGATGTAAAAGTCACAGTGTCTTCTCACCGCACCTTAAACACCATTCGTGGGGTCATCTCTGAGGACGACCTCCTCCACAGCAGCGAAGAAGAGATCCTTGAAGGCCTCCGCTCTTCTGGAGTAGTTGCCGTAAAGAGGATCATGTTCCGGAAAGATGGATCAGAAACTCCCACTTAACAACTCATAGTCACCTTTCAGCGTCATTGTCTCCCTTCTTCTGTAAAGGCTGGCTACATAAACTGTCACGTCCGGCCGTATATCCCAAACCCCCAAAGGTACTTTAGGTGCCAGTGGTTTGGGCACGGCTCGCGCAGCTGCCGTGGAAGAGACACATGCGCAAAATGTGGGAGCACGGAGCATGTAGCTGATGTGTGCAAAAGCTCACTGTGTTGTCCAAACTGTAAAGGATCCCATCCAGCATACTCACGTGCATGTCATTTGTGGAAGCAGGAGAAAGAGATCCTGAATATCAAAACAAAGAAAAACGTCATCTACCCAGAGGCCAAGAAACGCTACTCGTTTCAATCACTGGGCTCCTATGCTGATACCGTGCGCCGGGGACCTGCACGGCCAACAGCTACGACGGGAACACATACGTCCTTGGACGGTTTCTGTGACCCTTTTTCGTCCCCCTCAACCTCAGCAGGAGCGGTGCTAGCAGCTCCGCCCTCGAACCGAAAGGTGGATGCCGGTCCGTCGGGATCCACTAAAAATCAGGCACAGGGGACACTGCCTTGTGCACCCCCTGCAGCCCTGCCACTTAAAGGCCGTGGTATCTCTCGTGCCACTGGTGGCTCTCGTATACCTGGCCAGCCGCCTGGGCTGGAGAACCCTAAGGGTCTTCCAGCAGCGGCTCCAGATGAACCGATGGACGAGAGCGGGCCCCAGTCTCAGGAGGACAGGCCCCACTCTAGTTCAAAGTCATTGCCCTCGGCCACCTGTGATACTACTGGTAGGCCGAAAGATACGTCTAAAGAGAAAAATGCACCTCTAATTAAAATTGACTACAAAGTTTAGCT